AAGAGCGTCTTTGCTAGAAAGTCAAAGTAGATAAAAAGGAAGGAACATATTCCTTTTATGCTAAATATAATGTGTGTACCTCAAATTGATTGCAATCCGATCTAGTAGGTGTTCACGGACAGCTCCCTCTTCCGGATTATAAGTAGCAATCAAGAGTGGCTTACATGGGTGTCTAAAGCTGATTCCCTCTCTTTCCACAGTATTAACTCCTTCAGTTAACACATTAAGAAGCAAATTACTAATACCCTCGTCCAAGAGATTGATTTCATCGACATATAGAACACCTCTATGAGCTTCAGCCAGAAGGCCTGGCTGGAAAACAGTCGTCCCTGTTTTCACAGACTCCTCAACATCAACAGATCCAAGAAGTCTGTCCTCTGTGACTCCAAGTGGGATCTGGATACGAGAAAGTAGGTTAAACAAGTAAATAACCCCGAATACAAGGCTCACCTAACATAAATAAATAAATAAATACCTGGACAAAAGGAGACCTGACAATTTGAGTCTTAATATTGCCATCAGAATCATATTCCAGGCGCTCAGCTAGACCGTCTTCCCACCTTGAAAATTACAATCAAAGCCATAACTATCTTGGAAAAGATAATTATCATACTATATTTTTTCTTCCATCTGTTGCAAACAACTGTTTCAGCTAAATGAACTTCTATTACACAGTATCCTTACTCTTCAGGGCAAGCCGGATCTGCATTTGACATAGAACCAACAACTACTTCAATGGGCGGCAAAATCGCATGTAGCCCACGCGCCATAACAGTCTTGGCCGTGCCTCGTCTTCCAGAGATGGCGATCCCTCCAATTTCACGGTCTATGGCCCCAAGCAGAAGAGCAGTTTTTATAGCATCCTACAAAAAAGAAGGCACTTACAAAGTACACATAAGTGTGCGGATTTAACTGGTTAATCAACATTAATAAAATCACCTTTACAATCAGAATGCATTGCAAATGGAAATCTTTGAAGTTGCATAATAATCACGTAATATGAACTGTACACAAATTTATACCCTGATATCTAAAATCCTCAAAAAGAAAAAAAAATTTCATTTTAAAGGAAAAATGAAGTATAAGATCTAGAATGTTATACAATATTTTTCTAACCATCTGCATAAAAAACACGCCTTCACTCTTCATCTGATATTATTGATATCTTCTATTCAAATTCCACTAATTCCTGATTCTTTCTTTCTCATTTCGCCAAAGGACTCAAACAGAACACTAAGCTCTGACGACAGTATTTGCAGAAAATTGCATAATCAAGTCATCTATACTCTAAATAAATATATATATATATATATATAACTTCTAGAATTTCAAGAAATTCACACA